TAGTAAAGGCGGCTTAGTTAACTTCGTCTGCCTTTAGATTAAGTTTTAAGTAGTTTTAAGTAGTTATTTTAACCCCCTCTGGGTTTTTATTGTTTTATTGTTTTTAGACTAAGCCTCAAGTAGTTCTAAGTAGTTTTTTTTTAACCCTCCGGGCTTTTATTGCTTTATTGTTTTATTACCTGCTTCGTGCTTCAGCCTTGCTGCCTTGCCGCACCCCCCGCTGTGCATTTGGTGCTGAGGAGCTGAGTAATCTTCTGAGACGAGTGAGTGGGGAAGGGAAGAGGTCTGGCTGACTCCCCTGCCGTGAAGGGACTCCCGTCACTGGAAAGGAGAGGGCCCGGGCTCCACCAGGGAAACATACTGAGAGCCAGCGCCGCTGATGAGCTAAGCAGGAGAAAGCTGCAGATTCATCCCTACTCATCCATTGGCCCTGCTAATTAGGCAGAAACACTGGGGGACAACTGGTTTTCTAATAGGAAGACAACTATCCAACATGGTCCTCACTAGAAAGTTGTGTAAGGAGTTGGGTATCTTGCCAGATACGCCACTTAGCCCCCCGGGACCTGGAAAGAGACAAAGTAAAATTATAAATTACTTCCCCAAGAGGGAGGAATGCATGAGTGAACAAATTGAACCAATTATTGACGAAGTCACTCCTCTCCCCTTACTTACCTTGACCGGTCACATTACTTCAAAGAGCTTCAACACAACTCTGGAAACACAAATCCCCAAGAAGCCTGGCGCAAGAGCTAGTTCTAGCTGAGAAACCTGTGGAAAATATTTCTGTCACCTATAACCAGCGGCCCCTGGCAGAATTAACAACATGCCACCAAGACCAGGCGCCCACTTCCAAATATACTCAAACTGAACTGAGTGATGGCCATCTTCAGGCCCATTTCCAAGATATAAATATAGACCTTTCCAACATAAAAATTACTTGACAATAACAAATGGGTTATTGCTGACCCTTGTGGAAAATTTTATTCCCAACCAAAAGAGACAACAGCAACCGATGCACCCCAAGTGCATAAGCCAGATGAACTTGTGCATAACCCAGATGAACTAGTGAAGATGAGACAAGCAGTAACAACCAAGAAATTGCAAAAATAGATCAAAAGTCCGGGAAAAGAAAACTAAGAACATTAAAACAACAAGGAAAATAAAGATAAGCCGACATAAACAATGGCAGAAATTATTTAATCTACTCCCATTGGACTCAAATAAATCTGCTGCACGAGATAAAAAGAGAATGGCAGGAAGGGGAAAGAAGCCATCGCCAAAGCTAATGGCTAAGGTGGCATCTCTGAACCAGAATTCAGAACTAAGTGGGAGGACGGAAGCAACGTCCCAGAGTTCTGGTAACAGTTCACTCAGTGAGCCAGATTCTGGGGGAGAAGTGGTCCCTAACAATGAAGGCAGCAAACCGCTTAGCAAATCGGGAAATGGGGACGATGCAATGCCCAATCGCGATGACAACACTATACAAGATGGGCAAACCTTTATTCAGGCAAGATGTTGGAACCTGATTTTAAATCCCTCAATATTAGTATTTACAAACTTCCCAAAATCAAAGGGCTTCCTTACAGGGAAAGAACGAAGAATGAGCTCCTTGAACGTTCTGAATGATATATTGCCAGGAGCAGTAAAGCCATATGACATTATTTCTGTAGATTATTTGCATCATGATGGTTGTTCAATGAGAGCAATGATCACATTTAGAGACCAGAACCTGGCCAAGTTTATCTACAGATCAAGATATATATTCTTAAAGGCCCAGATAAAAATTCTCAGATTTTTTGAAAACAAGGCACCACCGAATCCCCTTCTGGAAGCCAAGCACGCAAACCCTAGTAAGGAGAAACAACCTCCCAAAACCCGGCCTGGTCTCCAGAAACGAGAGCTTCAAAAATTAAAAAGGAAAGATGCCCACCTGCAAGACCTGCAACTTCAAGAGAATGAAGATGAGGATCTTTTTTCCGCGGAAGAAAATACCTTAATTAGGCAATTTCGCCATTTTCCATCTCCAATACAAGCTGAAATATTAGAAAGATTGGATATGCTAAGAATTAAGCTGGCTGGGAGAGATACAAACAAGGAAATCAATATGGACGCCCTTAAAAAGGACCAGACTTCCTATAATTTGAACCCTACACAAGAACCAAACCCAGCGGCCTGTCGGCCATGTTACCTTCAGACAATGGCTGAGATTAATTTACTCCCAATCAAGGAAGCCCAGCACACTGAAGAGAACACTACACCACCTCCAATAAAGAGAACCATCCCGAAGGTGAATTCACCAGGCTCTTGGGACAAGCTGAGGTATCTAGATGAGGCGGAATTAGGCCACAATCAGGTTCCGGAAAACACCTACGGAAAGAGATAACACACTTCAAAGGCCCGGTGACCACTAATGTCAGTATTCAACAGTTAACAGCCGAAACTATAGAACATTTGGCTAGTTTGCCATGTATGGAGAGCAATGGGCCGGCTCATAAAAAAGTAATCCCTAAAAGCACCTTGGGAAATAATTGACAAAGGTTAGACCAGAGACAAACACCAGCCGGCTCCCTATCTCCGCGGAAATCCGATATCATTAGATACGAACAGACTCAACCCTCACTCACAAATCAAGCAAAAGCAGTTGTTTCCTTGAAAGACGCACCCAACCTACCCCAGAGCCTTAAAATTGTCTCCTGGAATGTTAACGGCTGGGCGACAAAGCAAATGGATCCTGAAGCAATGAATCTCATCTCTTCTTTCGACATTGTATGCCTCCAAGAGACCTGGTCCCAACAAAGTATTGTTCTCCCAAATTATTGCTCCTTTAGCTCCTGTGCTCAGTAAACTAACCAACAGGGGTCGCCCCTAAGTTGGCCTCGCCTGTCTTATTTCAACCAGCTTACCCTCACTATTTGCGAGGAAATTAAATCTTCCCCTTACTTTCTCACCAGACAGATACAGCTCCCAAAGACCAAAAGCCCATGGTTGATAACTACCGTATAGCTGCCCCCAGCACTTAATGCTTTCGACCGCACTGAAAGGTGGTCTGAACTTGCGGCTTGGCTCCATGATCTCCAAACAACTAACCCAGGACTCCCTCAAATCCTCTTAGGCGACTTTAATGCAAGAATAGGTCCCAACGACGATGATATAATATCTCCCGCAGCCCCCCTGGGGAAACAGATGCTCTCTTGATCCTATAACAAATGCGTCGGGAGGCTGATGGCCCAACTGGCCATGGAAAACGATCTCTGCATCGCAAATGGTAACATTACTCCCTTGTCCTCGCAGAATTTAAGGTGCATCACTTCCCGGGTACCCAGTGTTGTCGACTACATTTTATTGACGCCGGAGCTATTCTCAATTTCTACAAAAATGGAAGTGGCTGAATATTTTGGTGGTGACCACCTTCCATTGACTCTAATGTTAAACCTAATAGAGCCACTCCCAGTCTCCTCAAACTATAGAACCATGGTACAAAGCCACCCTGTATACAAAACAAAGAAATGGACAAGCCTCAGCTCCTCTCTTGCCCTGGACATACAAAAATCATTTGATATGTCTGCAGTTCCCTCTGATCCAATCCTGCCCGCTGACCAATACCGGAAATTACTTGATGCTTTCTCAACAACTTACATAACCACCACCTCGCCTACTTACCAACGCCTCTTCTCTGAATCGCCCTGGTTTGACAAGGAATGTAAAGCCCTAAGAAGGCGAATTAGGAAAATGGTCAGAATCATCAAATCTTCCAACGACCCCCAAACCCGTGCAAAGCTCATAGATATTAAAAGGACATATAGAAACATGATTCATTGCAAGAAACAGCAGTACATCTTTGAGGCTTGGTCCACTCTTCGCTCGGCTGTAGAGAGGCATGACTCCCGCTCCTTCTGGCGCCTAGTTAGACCTTCGGCACCATTCAATCCAGCTACCCAGATTTCCGCGGATGAATGGATTGCTTATTATTCAACTAGTTTCGCTTCTCCAAACCATCTTACAGATCTCCTTCAATCCCCATTGGACCTCAGTTCCTGCTCTCTTAGTCCCACTTCTTCAATAAACTTTACTTCAACTCGCATTTTCAACATCATAATGTCAATGCAAAGGAATAAGGCCCACTGCCGAGCCATGGTCCCGTTGGACCTTTTCCTGACTGATCCTCTTTGGTGGAGCGAACACCTGACTCCTGTATTCACCGCTATCTCCTCCGCCCTAGACATCCCCGACTCCTGGAGAGAAGCTATAATAGTTCCGATCTTCAAAGGCGGCCAGCCAAACATCCCTAGGAACTATCGCCCCATCAGCTTATTATCCATCCCGGGAAAATATTTGCCGCTGTTTTACTGGAGGAACTTCTCTCATGGGTCCAGGAGAGGAACATTCTACCGCTAGAACAGATTGGTTTCCAAAGTCAGCGTCAACCATGGACCATTGTCTAACTCTCTTTCACCTTGCCAGTAAATACACTGCTCCAAGGCAAGGCCACCTATTTGCCGCTTTCATGGACCTGGAGGCCGCCTTTGATTCCATTCCTAGGCAGAGATTATGGTCCAAACTTGCCCATCTGGGAATTGATCCGCACCTTCTCTCCCTAATTATCTCCCTTTATTCAAACACCACAGCTCGCGTCCGAACTAGTCCAAACGGCTCCCCACTACTCCATTTCCAACGGCCAAGGGCGTCCGACAAGGTTGCCTCTTGGCCCCTTTACTGTTTAATCTCTATCTTCATGATGCAATTTCCACTTTGAAGCTAGCATCTAAGTATCCTCCTCACTTAGCAGGCCACCCCGTTGCTTCCTTTTCTATGCTGATGATGCCGTCATCTTATCCAGAACAGCTATGGATCTAGCAAATGCAGTTAATGCATTTATCGCCTATTGTAAGGCGGAAGCTCTTAATATTAATTATAAAAAATCGAAAGTCCTCCACTTCACTCGCTCCCGTAAACTCAAGTTGGAGCCGCTTAAGATCACAGGTGGCTACTTAGAAAAGGTAAAAGCCTTTAAATATCTAGGATTAATATTCACCTATAATCTCTCCTGGACCACCCATCTACAATCTGCCTTTCTCGCTGCAACCACGACCTCTAACGCCATTGTCCGATTTTACCACCAGAAGGGCGGCAAACACCTTCCAGCAGCAATTCAAATATTTAATGCCAAAGTCGTCCCTAAATTATTATATGGATGTGAAGTATGGACTACAGCAATATCAGGTAACCTGGATCGTCCACTTCATATGTTTCTGAGATCTCTTTCCGGCGTCCCGAGATGTGTCTCAGGTGCAGCCCTACGACTCGAGTTCGCCCAGCCTTCAATTGCTAGGACGAGCATGGAGCCGAGCCATTTCCTACACCCTCCACCTATTAGCATCGGATGCTCGAATTAGAGGTGGCTTTTCCAATCTGATCCTAAGAGATATTCATAATTCCCCTTGGAAAACTACAATTAACCTCAAATTCCGCTCTCTTCTCAATTTGAATTGTAAAACTGTTCTTAACTTAGAGTGTATCAGCCCGGTGGCCCTACCCCTAATTAAAAAGAAACTACAGCAACTTGACTTCTCCAACACAGCTTCTTGTGCAAGAGGACCGTGTTCAGGCCTAGCCCTAGCTATTCCACCCCTGAAGGGATCCTCTATACTGCTTCACAATTTCTTCGGAGACTAAGCGAAGGGCTTTTACCTGTGCCCGTCTCAACTGTTTTCCTACAGCAGTTCTGTCGGGTCGTTATTCCAGAGTTCCCATCGCAAACAGAACATGCTCCTGTAATGACACGGCCCTGGAGACTATGGAACATGTAATGCTCTTCTGTCCCAACTGGACAGATGAAAGATCTCGGTTTTTAACTCCACTCGTGAATAAGTTCCATCTCCCAATCCAGCCTTGGATAGTGTCCCTCCTTTTGCAGGATTCTGATTGTTGGATTACTGAGATGACAGCTAACTTCCTGCTTAGTGTGATGAAGAGGAAAGCGGCACTAACTTCTTCCTTAACACCACAGATGCAGTCGATACGCCGCACAACCGAACGAAGTTCCAAGTAGCCTTATTGTACAAGGACAATCGAGTTAGGACTAATCTGAGGAGCTGAAGGACCCTTTAACGGTCCTCCTCCAGCCTCAGCAGCTTTTTTTTTCTTTTTCTTTTTTTCTTTCACTTTCTTTAAGTATTCGCCCAGGACGATGTCTACCTCTACCTCCCCACCCCCATTTTATGTTGTTATTTCAATGTATATCATGCTATGGCCACTCGGCTAATGCAATAAATAAATAAATAAAAAATAAAAAACTTTGACCTGAACCCCCCAAAAAAGTGGGTAGATCACTGCCAGTTTTCAATTCTGTGAGTAGATGGCAGTCTCTAGGTTCTAGGACAGGTCACAACAATTTGAAATACAACTTTGAAAATAGTTTAAAACAAATTACAAGAATAGAGTGTGTCCATGTATGTATCTTCTTTTTCTTGTGTCAGCATAGACATACTGGAGATTGAGGGCTGGATTCAGCAAACCTGGTGCACAAGGGCCCCTGTAAGCACAGTGGAGCTATACCCCCTCTCCAGCTGGACCTATACTGGACCTCTTACAAATATACTCTGAAGGGTTCAGGACAGCCCCCAGAACAGCACAACAAGGAAGAAGATGGGGGATTGTTCCATCTGGGAAGTAAAAATGCTTGCGCTGACAGAAAGATCAGAAAAGTGCAAAGCTGAATTCCTTCCTGAAACTCAGGTTACAGTCGCACAAAACCATTGTATCACTCAGAAGCAGATCTGAGTATTTTCCTTGTTGTAATAGATTTTCATTGTTAAATATCAGCTCCTTGCAAGTATGAGAAATGTGGTGCAATTCTTTTATGGGGGGGCGCAGGTTTCCCTTTTGCAGTGAAAGGGGGAAAATGGTTTCCCAGCCACAATGAAATGTTGGGTTGGATCCTGAACCTCCTGATGTTTCAGTTGAAACTAGCAAATATATATTTTTACCTGTGTACAAATAGAAAACTAAACTTCTGAATACAAAGCACCCTTAAACAAGTTTACTATTACCATCGTAATACGTATAACATCAGTAGGAAATAGGGACGAGACCCTACAGAAGGAATAAAAGCGCTTACAAAGAACTTTTTTTAAAGGCCAATAATGTGTTAAAATATGGTTGCTAAGGGATACAGCAGATCCAGAGTAACTGGGAATTAGGAAAAATAATTGTTAAAGCTATTACAGAAAAATAATGGTAAAGAGGAAATAGAGCAGAAAGGATGGTCACAGTGACCTGAAATTAAATGGGAAGAAGTATAAGGTTTATTTTAAATGAATGCTAGGCCTGCTTTAAGATAAAGGTTATTCAGTGGCATTAGGATATGATAATTTCTCATTTGTCAGTAGAAGTTATGCTGAAAATAGCTTTAATATTGTTTTGGTGCAAAGTAGTTGCTCTTCGCTTTGAACTCAGGTGTCTATCCATATGTGCCTCTAAAGAAAAATTACCAAGCCAACAAAGAGCACTTGCAAATCATGAGACTTTCTCCCTCCCCCTTCTCTGCTGACTTTCTGCCCCTTGTAGAGTTTGTTTCTGTGACATTTTGAAAATGAAACACATCTACTTCTTAAGCTCTGTTCATCGGAAGCAATGAAGCAGCTTAGCAGAATTATGGGATCTGTAAAACTCATCGGAGTAACTTAGAAGGAAGCAGCATAGCCACATGGCAGCCAGAGATCAGTGCCACAAAAGGGGCAAAAACCAAATCTCAATACATTTTGAGCTCTTATTCAGAGTATAAGAAATTCAGAAAAATAATGTTTGCAAAAAAATAACCTCATTCTCTCTAATCACTAGTATTGTCAGTAGGACTGGTCCCATAAACATGCAATAGACCCAAGAGCCAACATATTGGTGGAACAGTTATATTTAATCAGATGTAACATGTGCAGATCTGCAAAGCAAGAGCACATTAATAAGTAAAGGCAGGTGAGTTTCCTAATAATATATAGGTGTGAGCACTTCCTTTATCCTTCCCTGGGCATGTCAGCCACTGCACTCAGTGGTTTCCTAGCCAATGATTCTGTCTATTTCTTCTCCACTTGTAAGGTTGCCATAGGTCTGGGATTTCCAGATGTATGGCAGCCCACGTCACCAGTGCCATTTTCCCATATATATTTTTACTGATTTTCCATAAAAGTGGATTTTCACTGTTTGAAAAATGGCAACCCCACGACATTGCTCGGTTAGCCTTGAGGAATGAGGTGAGGGCCAAACATGTACTCTGTGGCCCCACAGCAAACATTCACCCATGTGTACATGATACACACACACAACTTTTTTCCCCCAGCCAGAACTTGCCAAAACCTCTCAGGTGGGTGCCATTGCCATTATAAGAGAACAAGGGAGGTGTTCATGGTATGTTCTGGCTTCTCTTTTTCTAGAAAAATATCACTGTATATATACCAGGAAAGGCTTTTGATGAAATGCCAGAAGAAGAGCCAAGAACAGACAGGGGATTTACACAAAGAATAGATCATGTGGTTACACTGTATGCAGATTGCAGTGGTGGTGGTGGGGAGCTAAGGAGAATCAAGTGGTTAATTTAGGTACAATGAAACAAAAAGAACTGCTAGTCAAAATCTAGGTGATAAGAAAAAAAGTTCCTCTATTAAACTAGATCTCTCCCTGACATGATGGCTTTGAACATACAGTGGAACCTCAGTTTTGGAACGTAATCCATTCTGGAAGACCATTTGACCATTTCCGAAAACAGAAAACTGAAAGCGGAAGCCTCAATTCAATAGGGAAACTCAAAATGGAAGCCATGTCGGATGTTTCGGTTCCAGAAAACATTTGAAAACTGGAGCATTAACTTCCAGGTTTTGGGCATTTGGGAGCCGAAACATTTGAAAACGAAGCTGTTCGAGAACCAAAGTTTGACTATATAGCAAACCTAAGGAAAACCTAAGAGCTCTCACCACTACCCCACACGGTGACCAGTGGGGAGGGAGCCTTGCAGAGCCCTTTTATGCAAAGAAGCATGTTCTAGGGGCAGGTAGGAATGCAGGTGTAACGTAGCACCTCCACAGTTGCCGAATCTTCCACTCTGCAGCTCTGGTATACCTTTGTTATCTAAAAGTAACTCCTGCCATGGTTTCATATTGTAAGCACAGAAGGGGGGCAAATCTCTTGAAATTTTACTTTGTATTCTGCAGACAGCAGCAGGGTGAGTTATATTCATTCAAAGAGCCCATGCCATTTTCTGAAGATGGCTGTCAACTGCATGTGTTTTATGGTCCACTTTATTATCTATGACTGGAACTATTACCATATATGAATTCTGGATGCATAGCATAACCCTGCTCCCTTGTAATATATTTTTTTAACTTCAAAGATGTGCAGATGAGTGTGAAACCTAAATATTCAGCCTGACAAGCATCCAAAAGAAGAAGAAGAAAGTGGAGGGAGACTTGAGTAAATTGCACTCTTAAGCTATTTCTTAAACTTTGGTAACATTTTAGCCTGAAACTTTATGAAATATTGTATCCATTTTTAAAACATTTGTGGGGGGGGGTTAACCCAGCTATGACCCTTAGGTACAAACCACATACATGTGTCATATGTGATTTTTGCAGCTTGAAGCCATTCACAGAAGTTCCTGAATATCTATGACTTCTATGATGTGGAAAAGATCACATGAATTGGTAGAGCACATTTACCTCCCTATGATCCTCCAAGTGGAAAATCACAGCAAGTCTCTCGAGTCTGCTGCTCTCAAATGAGGCTATGAAATTTGGATGCCATCTCAGGTTCAATAAGTTTATTGTGCTAGCCAAAGCTATGACAAAACCATACAAACACAACCATATACAGTGGTACCTCAGGTTACAAACACCTCAGGTTACAAACACTTTGGATTACAGACTCCGCTAACCCGGAAGTAGTACCTTGGGTTAAGAACTTTGCTTCAGGATGAGAACAGAAATGTGTGTGGTGGTGCCACGGCGGTAGCAGGAGGCCCCATTAGCTAAAGAGGTACCTCAGGTTAAGAATGGTTTCAGGTTAAGAACGGACCTCCGGAATGAATTAAGTTTGTAACCAGAGGTACCACTGTACATTGGTACCTCGGTTCTCGAATGTAATCCATTGCAGAAGATTGTTCAACTTCAGAAATGTTTGAAAACCAAGGCGCAAAGGGCTACCTGCAAGTTCAGTTGGAAAAATTGAAAAACACAGGGGAAGCCGTTCGACTTCCAAGGCATGTTCAAAAACGTAAGCAATTACTTCCGGGTTTTCAGCGTTCGAAAACTGAAATGTTCAGCTTCCAAGATGCTCGAAAACCAAGGTACCACTGTATATGCTGTGTGTGTGTGTGTGTGTGTGTGTGTGTGTGTAATCTCACAAAACCTCTGCTTAAACCAGCAGAACCATGTATTGCAAGAAAGACGAGCCTCCACAACTACTTACAGCACATTTCAATTTAGACCTCCTAATCTCCCTTACAATTTACTGCTATTGGACTGCTATTTTGTCCAATTCCTTCTTCCTAATCTTTCTTGCCGCCAGCACAAAAAGGGCCATTTTATGAATCACTGCAGTGTCAGAGTCACTAAACAGCCTCAGAACCTTCTCCGCGAAGGAGATACTGCATTCTTGAACAACCTAGGGATTTAGAAAGTGTCTCCTAGGTTCTGTGTATAACAGGCAATGAAACAAAAAAATTAACAACCTCTTCTACTTGCAGTTGTCCACAGAGTCAATCTGCATATGGAATCTGAGGGGGATGCCATCTCAGTACAAAGCAGTAACCCTATGATTCCAGAGAGCACACGGGGATGTGCATTCCCACCCACAAGAGAAAACAGATGAAAATGTACACCCCCATCCGCACTGTACATTTGCTGATAAGATTGGCATACCTGGTATGACATTTGCAGTCTGTGTCCATGAGGAGGTCCAGGGATCAGCAGCAGAGTATATGTTTTGCATGTACTGAGTAAAGTTCAATCTCTCCATCTCAGGTTAAAGGAAGCCATGTTACAGTGTTCAGAAATACCACGGCCAGAGGTCTTAGAGAAGGAGCGTCTCCACCCCCATCGTTCTGCCCGGACACTGAGGTCCAGCTTCGAGGGCCTTCTGGCAGTTCCCTCACTGCAAGATGTGAGGTTACAGGGAACCAGGCAGAGGGCCTTCTCGGTGGTGGCACCCACTCTGTGGAACTCCCTCCCATCAGATGTCAAGGAAATAAGCAACTATCTGACTTTTAGAAAACATCTGAAGGCAGCCCTGTTTAGGGAAGTTTTTAATGTTTGATGTTTTATTCTGTTTTAATCTGTTGGAAGCTACCTAGAGTGGCTGGGAAAACCCAGTCAGATGGGTGGGGTATAAGTAATAAATTATTATTATTATTATTATTAAGAATTACAAATATCCCCATTTTAGTACACCCTTTTTGGTTGACAACTTGCATAATAACATTCCAAGACACGAAACTTTCAAAGGACTGATGCATTTTAGTTCACATATTGTTTCACCAAATTTCTTCCTTATCCATGCTTTAATAGTAGTACGTGGCTATCTTTTGTGGTAGTGGTAGGTTTGGGATTCAAGGAAATATTTCACAGAATGCCATTTAGCATTACTATTATTTCTTTATTAAATTTATATCCTACCTTTCCTCCCAAATGAGCCTAGGGTGGCACCAAAAGTATTTTCAATGGTTTATTTTCATAAACTCAATGTCCCTATTCAGTTTAATTTTTCAAATAAAACTGCATGTCTTCGTTTACTCTTATTTCATTGTGAAATACACAATGTTTCTACTATGCTTACCTAAAAGCATAATGGAGGCCAGCACGGCTTTGATTTCAAAACATTTGTTATGCATTTGCAGTGCTACAATTTTTCAAGAGCATACAATATCTTTTGCACATGAATGATAAAATCATAATTACTAAAATAACATTCACCTGCCTGCCTCAAAGGAAATTGCTCTAACAACTGCACTCAGTTGGGTTTTTGAAAAAACAACAACAAAAACTTAGTGCTAATGTTAATGCAATCTGATAATGGATTCTGTCGTTGATGAAGGTAAAAGGGATCTGTGAATTGCTAGTTTGCACCTACATGACAAATGTAATATAGGAAATTGTAACTGTGTGTATGTGCATGTTTTATTCCACTGGGATTTATGTCTTACAAGTACAGTTTCTGCAATTTACATAAAATGTTGCCTAATAAGAAAGGGAGAGTGCTGAAGATGGAAGGCGGAGTAGAAGTAAAATGACAAATTGCAAACAGTTGATCCCAAACTCCCAAATAAAGGCATGAAGAGGTTATCTTAGCATTAGAAGTTGATGCTTTTTCATGTTCACATTCCTGTGTTGCTGGTAGTCTATCCCTGCTGCAAGCTGAGAGTTAACTGTCACTGTATTTTAATGGCTGCTCCAGAATTACCTTGTGTTATGCGCCTGAGTGGATGTCTTCCCCATGACTTTTGTCTGCCTCTGCTATCAGAAGTCAACAAAATAGGGGTGTAACTAGAGAGAGGAGGATGGTGAAAGCAGGATAAATCTCACCCCTGCATTTCCACAGCCCTCATATAAACAGCCTCAAAGGCAACATAGGGCAGGAGGGAGGAGGGTTGATGGCTGTGTTAAAAGGAACACCAAGAAGTCAGCAGGTTGTACAATCTCCAAGGTTTAGGAAGCAAAGCTGTGTTGGGGATTCCATGTGTCTGCAAAGGGTGGCGGGGAGCTGAGAGGGGACACTCATCTTTCTCCCTCATGATGGGTAGGGCTTCTTGTATGAAGCAGGAATTCCAGGCGTCATCTGAAGAAAGAAGGAAATGGATTACACTTCTGATGGCCAAAGTAAAAACAAAAAAGTTCAGTGATGTCGTGATTTAACCACTCATTCATTTCACCTGCAGCATTTCATGGTCCCCAGGCACAGCTAGCTTTGTATATACAGGTCATGATGGAGTCCTCTTTCTTTTCCTGGCGAAGCACCAGGCGTTTTGAGACATACACCATCATTATCCATTGGCTCTGTTCCAAAACTGATGTGGTACTTAGTTTAACATGTGTGAACTGCAATAGCTCCACCGTTTTCCTGGAATGGCATCCCAGGAGCGATCAAGAGGGTTAATGAGCAGTCAAGAAGGAGCTATGTGGCACACTCAGACAGCAGGATGGCCAAAATAACCTCCATCAAGAGGGTTATTGTAAAATGCCTGAAAGTACCTCAGAAGCCAAAGAGTAAAATAGCAGCTTAATGTGGCCACAGCTGGGCCCAAGTGACCCTTTCTCCTTCTTTGTCTTGGAGAGGTTTCTCAGCAGCTGTTTCAAGTGGCAGCATTTCCCCCCTGTTGTGAACCTTTTCAGGTACCTCCCTGCCTGCTGTGCTTGACAGTTTTCGGCTGGCTGAGGAAGACAGTGATGTGGTTATGACAGTGCTCTGAGAGATCTCTTTGAGAAACCAGCCTCGAAACCAAGGGCATTTGCACAGCTGAGTAATTTCCCTTGGGAGCAGTCACTTCACTTCATATAAAATATGTTCGGCGGCCTAACAAAACCCAGTGGGGCCAATTTTTCTCTATGAAAAGACGGTGCTTAAAAAGGATATAAAAGTTGAGTTTTTTAAAAAACAATTTGTGATGTCCTGAGAAGGTCCATGTTTCTATCCTTGTCTAAAGGGGTTGTTCATATTTCTTTTTCCTTGGAGTCCCAGAGTACTATCACACAACAGTTTATTGTGGACTCAGTGTTGCTTCTGTACCCACGTTTGGTGCAATGTCCACACGAAGTTGTCCTCATCAAAATGCAATCCCATAGCTCCCCCTTTAATCTAGATTTACCATCCCTGCAATTTTTTTTTAATGCTACTTGTTAGATTAAATGGAAAAAGAACGTGGGTTCACATTTTGATGAGGACATGCAGTGTGAACGCAGCTCAAAACTTGTGTGTGTGTGTGAATTTGCAAGCTGAACTCCTGATCTGCGCCTTGTGCAGAGTAGAAATGTAACCTCTCCACCACAATGAGTTCCAAAAAGTGTTACAAGTGCAAGCTGACTTAAACCAGTTACAAAATAAATGTTGCAAAAACACGAACACATTGTTCTTAAACAAACTAGCAAAGCAGCCCAATCTTCTTTAAGTCCTCAACATAGTCCAACAGCTTTCACTCTCTGGTCCCAGAGAGAGATCCTATGCAAAAGCAATGTGCTTCTTCAACAATGCTGAGCTGACTTTCTGCTGGCTCTGCTAACGTCTGAGATGCTGAGTTCTCAGGTTTCCCAAGGACGAGTCATGACTTACCATACACACTGAAACAGAAACTTCTACCCTCTCCTGCCACATCTGCTGGAGTTAAACCTCTTGCTAATTCAAACCTCTCTTTGCAAAATACAAACCTTTACATAAGTTTTCAAACTTCAATGCATCTAAATATTACATTTTATGCACATTAAACCTATGTCTTTAACATAACACTGAGTCCACAATGAGCTGCCACGTGGAAGTGATCTTAGAACCACATGAAGGAAGAACAAGGGCACACCAATGGGAAGAGTATCAGTGGGTCATGCTGTCATGCCTGGACACAATTTTTAGTGGGAATTGGGGGGGTTGTTATTCCCAGTTTCTAGAGAGTTATGGGGCAGGGGCAGGTGAAGGGAAGCAGGGCCCAGCAATTCAGGCTACAAGCAGGAAGACAGGCAGAGATGGAGGCCCCATGTATACCATACATTTAAAGCACTCTTATACCACTTAAACTGTCAAAGAATCCTTGGAAATATACTTTGTTAAGGGTGCTGAGGGTTATTAGGAGATTCCCCATTCCCCTCGCAGAGCTATAATTCCCAGACATCTCTGGGAAGAGGAGATTATTAAACCACTCTGAGAATGGGGGATATTTGCCAAAATTCCACAATCCACAATTCTCTGCAGCACTCTTACAGTACACTCTACAGTTCTCAGGATTCCCAGAATTCTTTGGGAGAAGCCATGACCATTAAAGTGGTATAAGTGTGCTTTAAATACATGACATGGATGTGGCTTGAGTGATTCACATGAGATAGTAGACTCAAGCTCTGGGGTCAAGTGGGGGACAGGTGGGTTGCTGCCCCTTTTGCTCTTAGGGGATGAAGGTCAACAACAGAGCTCATCTCCTGTGCTTTTCAAGGCCCTACAGTCCTGCTCCGCATCCATTACTCTAATATTCTACATTGATTATCACCATAGAAAACAGTGTTCACCATTCAAGCAGACATGCACACTTGTTAAGTGTATGAACCTCTCAGCATTTCCCCACTGTAATGACATTTTAGTTATGACATTACGGTCTTCACTTTTAATACGCAGAACTGTAATTAATTTAAAATTGTGCTTACTGCAGTAACCATAATTAATTCCGATAAGTAGAAGCTGTATTTACTGTCTGGATTACTTAGTGTTACCCTTATTAGCCACAGAACTCTCTACAGTGTATGGGAAGCGACAGTGTGAGGTTAGTTTACGCAATGGAGGGGATGCCGCTTTTGAATAGAATTGTATTATGAAGCAAACTTGCCATCTACTGGGAGGACAGCTGCTTATCAGGCTTCTGACTTGGAGACAAGGCCCCTTTCTTTCATGGGCAGGATGAATTATAGGTGGCAATGCTGAAAAAGTCGTGTCAGCTTCCCAGGGCAGCTGTAAATCTCAAGCCTAGCTGGCACTGGGTCAAGAGCAGCAGTGAAATCTTTGTAAAACGGAAGCTGGTATAAATTACAGTAAGTGGCCACATGTTAAAATAATCACCTAATCAATATTAAGTCCTTTGGTATCTTTTAAGTGGCATTAATCACCGTGAACTCTTTAGGTAGTAATATAGACACCACAATAGGCTCCCTCCCATAATTCAGGATTAATTGTTTCATCTTCCAGACCACTGTGCTAAAGTCTTGCATGTGGTTCACACAGGCAATGAAACACTAAAGTTAAGGGAAGCAATGGATAGAATGGATTCAGTTTACATTTAAAGGTGAACTAACCTAACTTGCACTTTCTGAAGCAAGGTGCCAACTGAAAAAAGCCATTTTTCAAAATTTGTGCTTCTCTCTATATTTCGCAATGTAGTTCTCCAGCCGAGTCATATGTACAGAAATGCATATGCTGGTGTAAAATTCACATAAAGATGTATGTATTTGTGAAAAGAGCAAATGCATTACATTAAGGGAAATTGCTTAGGAAAAATGTTGATATTAGTCAAAGCTGCATCAAAAATGTATTAAGCTAAATTTGCACCCAAATGCTGATGAATTTTCATGAGAATTATTTTAACTAAAGTTTGCAAACTGCTGCAGAAATGTGTAGAACAATAAAAATACTGAGGCGGGACCAGCACTGAACTTTGGAATCAAGTGTTAAATACAAAAATGTCTTTAAAATGGCATTTACTCCCTCTCCTTGACCACTGTAAAATAAGTTACTGTGAAAATTCAGTGACTTCAACATGCCAAGTAAATATTTAGTCTTTAAATTTCCCCCAAAAAACAAAAACACTGTTCTACACATTTCTTTTTTTTTTTTTTTAAGATTGGAAAAATAAGAAACAGAGAGCTGAAATTGCCAGATTTGTCCATCTCTCCTCTTAGGTAGGGCCCACTGAAATCAGTGTGAATGGTTGACACTTGACTGGAACCAAGTGCAAATAATTTTGTCTCGATCCAGTTGCGTGTTCAGTCAGCCCACTGCCTGGTGTCTCACATATGTGATTAAAGAAACACAGGGCAACATTCTTGGATCAAAACAGGTCACAACTTTATCAACTGCAGATGTAAGGGGACTGAGCACAAGCATTGGGTGATTTCCCGCTCAGTCAGCCCGCCTATTGACTGCTGACCAGGGAGTCGATTCCGGGATAGGATTGCCCTATGACTTACATCAAAGAGGAGCAGCTCATCGGAATAACCAACTTGGGGAGTACTATGGGTCTCAGCTCCCATGGGCCAGATGGGCGGGGTATCATCATCATCATCATCTGGGACAAAATGGACAAAAACATCACCCCTAGGATCCCTTTAATAGGATACCCCAATTTCCTGGAAGGTTAAGACAAAGCTATACAACTGCCCTTTCTGATTAATTACTGTGGATCCTACCCAATGCCTTAACTGCCAAAGTTGTGATAGTTGCTATGAGGGAGGCGAAAACTTCCAGACCAGCCGACTTGCCTGGAAATAAAAATCTTCCCTGCCCCTGAATACAACGACATATTATTCTGTAGGAAATTCTTAATAAAACAGCAACAGATGAAATAAGGGGGGAGGGGGTACCAAAAGCCAACTGTGGTGCCAAGCAAGGAGGAGGTCCCATATTATGCAGGGAGAGTGGACCCAAGTAGAAACCAAGACAAGGTTTTCCGTTGACTCTGGTCTTCCACTGCTGCCTCCTAGAATTGTTAGGTCAATATCACAGGTGGGTAAATTTAAATTCCCAAGACTAGAGGGAGAGGAAAACATCTCCCAGACAACTGTTGGGAAAGCCCAAACAGGCCCAGCACTGGCAGCAAGCCACGTGTCACCGCAATGGCTGCCCACCAACCAACTTAACAGTCTTCATTCCAAAATTCCATTCAGGGTTCAGATGGACCTGCACAAACTCAGGCTATAACTCAGGCTATGTCAGCTGGCTCCTTCTTTCAACCTCTCCAAAAATGCTGTATTTTTCAAAGTTTGCTGTATTTTCCATGTGACCTAGAAAGTTTGGGCCTATCTTTTCTTTTCTTTTCTTTTTTAAATGATATTTATTAAAATTTGAGAAACAAAAAATTACATAGTTAAAGAGAAAAGAAACAAAGGAAAATATATTTAAAAAAGAGAAAAAACATACAAAATACAAAGTACAGAAAAAAAAATTAAAAAACACTTAAAAACAAATTAATCCTTCCGTATCTTACATTTCGTTTCCTTGCTTCCCTGACCTCCTCTCACCTCCCTTTTTTGTATTCCAGTTCAATTGGTTAATTCAGCAATTCCTTTCCCTCTTTGTTTATGTCTTAGTCCTTTAGCTTAATATAACTTTAGATTCTCACCTATTAACCATCCATTTTTACATACACCTTTATGACATTGCTGCTAGAACCACTTAATTTCATTCTGACATCATTCTAACATTCATTAATTTTACAATATTTCTGTAAATAGTATTTAAATTTCTTCCAATCTTCTTCCACCGACTCTTCTCCCTGGTCTCGGATTCTGCCAGTCATTTCCGCCAATTCCATGTAGTCCATCACCTTCATCTGCCATTCTTCCAGAGTGGGTAGAACTTGTGTCTTCCAATAATTTGCAATAAGTATTCTTGCTGCTGTTGTGGCATACATAAAGAAAGTTCTATCCTTCTTTGAAACCAATTGGCCAACTATGCCCAGGAGAAAGGCCTCTGGTTTCTTCAAGAAGGTATATTTAAATACCTTTTTCAATTCATTATAGATCATCTCCCAGAAAGCCTTAATCCTTGGGCACGTCCACCAAAGGTGAAAGAATGTACCTTCAGTTTCTTTACATTTCCAACATTTATTATTGGGCAAATGATAGATTTTTGCAAGCTTGACTGGGGTCATGTACCACCTGTATATCATTTTCATAATATTCTCTCTTAAGGCATTGCATGCCGTAAACTTCATACCTGTGGTCCACAACTGTTCCCAGTCAGCCATCATTATGTTATGTCCAACGTCTTGTGCCCATTTGATCATAGCAGATTTCACCGTTTCATCCTGAGTATTCCATTTCAACAGCAAGTTATACATCTTTGACAAAGTCTTAGTTTTGGGTTCTAACAGTTCTGTTTCTAATTTTGATTTTTCCACCTGGAAGCCAATTTTCTTGTCCGAATTATATGCCTCCATTATCTGATAATAATGAAGCCAATCTCGCACTTTGTTTTTTAGTTTCTCAAAACTCTGCAGTTTCAATCTGTCTCCCTCTTGTTCCATCTTTTCACATATGTACAAACATGTCCTCTTATTCTCTTATAGTCCACCTTTCTCATCATTTGCAACCAGATGCCAGCAAAGTACAGCTGGATTTCGTGTTATCATTACACTTTTTCCAACATATAATTTTTCCAGCATACACACAATAAAACAGATTAACACACATGTGCTAGGATCTCACAACTGACCTCTGTAGGTAGGTTGGACTTTTTGCACAGAATCCATGCACACTATTTTGACATGCCTTCGCTAAAACAGCAGAAACTCTCCTTTCTGGGATGGACTAAGTTGTCCACTCCACAAAGGGAAGAGTAAAGACGCAGGATGCTTCTTCAACATTTTTTGGTCATGGTTTCACTAGTAATCACAACCATTCCCCTTTGTGTCTTCTTAGCATAGCTACTATATTTTATTTGCGAATCTGAGCACAGTAGTTTCCCCCTACTTAATTGAGAGTCTAGTCTAGTCTACAATATATTATGCTTCCCTTTAAATCTCTCCATTGGTGATTCTTAAAACACTGTATTGATTTAAAGATCTTTTTACTTACAGGAATAACTTCTGATTTTTTCCTGACCTCTTCACACCCCTTGGTAGTGACCTGAGTTAATTGCACCGTTATCAGTAGATAATGCAGTAGCATTAAAATGAATTAGCATGTAATTACTAGTATTCCCAAGGGATATACAGTACTTATAATGAAGCAGAGCATTCTATTTCGTGAAAACTATGAAGCAGTATGTTTACAAATGTATATTCAGATCACCAGCTGCTGCTGCGTATCACATGACTAGAGCACTATCATCTCCTCTACAGGAGGTTTGGAACTGCTAAATCAACATCTGGTTTTAAGTGTAAGAGGATTAAAAAATTTAAATTTATTTTTAATTATCTTTACTTTTGGCAAAGCTTTCTTGATAATTCTGAGTGGATAGAGCAGAAAGTTTTTTTTCATAAATATTTTTACAAATGGCTTCATGAATTATCGCCCAATCCATCACCTGGTAAACATGACATACTTGAATCAAAACTGATTTAGCATTATTGCCTTCTGTGCAAATTATGATGGCCATGGTATCATTTAGCTAAGGAGGGCTGCAATTCAGACCATATTCTCCGCATCCTGAAGGTTCCCGACTCAAACCCTGGCATCTAATGTTGGCAAAGGCTCCATACCTAAATATCTGAAGAGTCACTGCCAATCACCATTGACCCACGTCATGGGGTGGAGCCCCACATTGGGCTAAAGATTCATGTATTGCAGAGGTTTGGACTAGATGATCCTTGTGGTCCTTTCCAACTCTACTATTCTAATCTAATCCACAGAGTGATGCCATTCATGGGGCCCTTATTCCATCCTTAGGTACCAACCCCCTTGAGACCATTCACTTTTACAAAATTTTAGCAGCACTGTGTCAGATGAAGCTTTAATCCTACAACCATTAATGGTCACATGAGGATTTAGTCTCAACTCTTCCTGTCCCATTTATTTATGTCTCTGCGGGCTAATGGTAAATGCTGGAGTATGGAATCTGTGGTCCTCCAGATGTTTCTGAACTCCAGCTTCCACCATCCCTGACTATTGACCATGCCACCTGGGACTGATGGAAGCTGGATGTTCAATACCATCTGGAAGTGCCACATTCCTGCCTCAAAGTTTGAATTTGACTGGCATAAGTATCAGCTAAGAGTGGGCTTCCAGTATGGCTACCCCCTTGGCAAAGGATTATAAATGGCTATGCTCAAGAACCAAGTGGCCAACTGAAAATGGCCAGGTTTTGTCCCTCAATACTTGTAGAAATGCACACAAATGCTTCCTTAATTATGGCATCTTGTACAAGGGATGTGAGGCTGGAAAGAGACAAATGGTCCATGTAGTCTGGGAAACTAAGCATTTACGTTCAGGTAGACAGGTAACCAAGGGAAGCCAAGTTAGAAAGATTTTGGTTTTCTTAAGCACTGGGCAGCGGAAAATGAAGCTTTAGCTCACAATTAATTGGCAAGTGTAACACGAACATTCTTGGTTGGTTTTTTTTGCTAACATACATTCCCTGTGCACATGACTTGCTTACATATTTTCCTTGATAGCATGATCTTGCTTAGCCTACTGAAGGCTGAGAGGAAAGATGCTGATTGCCTTGAAATCCGGAGGAAATCCTGGGAACTTAGTACTTTGCAAGATCGAAATGTTTTAGCATCTAAAAGTATAATGAGCTTAGTTTTGTGCCAAGTACTTCATGCATATGTTTCCTACAGAAACAGAATCACTGGAGATAAATTATAAACATATAGTAGTGTGTTCTATTATCCGCAATGTAAACAAAATGCAGGATGTTAAAACTGTAAGTGATAATGCACCCATCTTCAATTTGATTTTGTTCTTTGTCAGTTACAGTGCATGCTACACAAACACACACGCGCACACACACACATACATATTTCTTTTTGTGATGTCAAAGCATTTTTAGGTATCTGTGCTAGAATGCCCAAATGGAAGTCTTTATTTCTCCAGTGTATACCCTTATACCAACATGGCCAAGGAATGGCAATAACAAAAATAGCAGAAAGCATTCAACCGTTTCATGAAACAAAATCTGCAGGAAATGCTTACATGGTTGAAAGAGAAACTAAACTTAATCAGAGTTTCATTTCTGACAAGGGAAAACCAGATTTTTGTTTACAAGAAAAAGAGCTGAAACAACAATTGCCTTTGTCCACTATAACCATGCCACTTATTTTACATAAGTGATGAGAGAACTGGCCCATATCCTCATCTGCTGAAACTTTTCTGTAATTATTCTTTTGCACCAGCAAGAGATGTGACCCCATTGTTTCCTATTTCAAATGCTTTCATCACCATTTTAAATGCTTTGGGGGGGGGGGTTAGAAAGGAGGGGGGTGTATTTCCTAGCTTTCTAATCTCACCGTTGATTTTGTTTCTACTGGCATGGATTAAGAAAAAAGAGAATGGGCTGAAATTTAACAATCCTCTCGTGGCACTAAACAAATACTTATTATGAACACCAAATTCTCCTTGGCAACAAAGCCCAAATATAGGCGGTAATTGAGAAAGCCTCATATGTATTTGTCTTTAAAATGTGCTATTTGTGACTTGGAGGCGTTTTTCCCAATAGCCTGTTTTAGACAGGAAAGGCCCTACCATTAGGCATACTGAGACAACTGCCTCAGGTGGCAGATGGTGGGGTGGGTAGCAGTGGCAGCACATTCAGCCACACCTTCTGAGTCCTGCCCCAACTTTCCCCACTCGTCAAGACTGCCGGCCTGTCATATTCCCCCTCAACCAGCCTGCTTCCTTCAGGTACTGTGGATAAAGTTATCCCATTTCCAATGCTGAAATAAGATTTGAACTGTCAGTCAGCTTCGCACCCTTATGTCATTTGCCTCAAGCAGCAAATTATTTGGGGCCATCCCTGATTTTAAAGCATTCTAGTCAAATTATATTTATGGAAACTTTTTATTTTATTAGTAAGGTAAAGGTAAAGGGACCCCTGACCATTAGGTCCAGTCGTGGCCGACTCTGGGGTTGCAGCGCTCATCTCGCTTTATTGGCCGAGGGAGCCAGCATACAGCTTCCGGGT